GGTCGAGTTATCCAACTCGGATCAAATTGAAAATCATGTTCTTTTAATTCATTCGATAAACGATCAAGTTCAGCATAAATTTCATTTGTTCGAGGATGTGAACGATCATGTGCTTTGAAACACTTCAACGAATAAAATAACTTTGTTTTTCTCAGTTCTTCAAATAAAAATAAACTGTTCGGTTACCACAATTTTATCATTGACTTCTGTCCAAGACAATCCAATTGTGACATTATTTCCAAATTGTTTGATTCGATTTGATCGTTGTTGTCGAGCAGCTGATAACATACCACTTAAAAACAAGTAGCGCTCATCCTTCGGATTCGCCAACCCTTTTCTGAGGAAATGCTCCTACCGCTAAACACATTCAGAGGCATTGAAAAACAAATAGGGCACTGCCAGTACTACTGGTCTTTGGCGATACCATAGCATTGCGTTCCATACGAGAATTTATGCAAGACAGAGTCTTCTCTGTCATGAATCGAGTAAACTATCCGTTTATCAAGGAATAGTTTCAAGCATTAGCTTTGTTAACTTTCAAGACAATCATGCTCCATCGGATATTTTCATTGAGAAGTATTCATGAGGTCCGTTTAAAAGATTTTTCAAGTTGCATAAGGTGCTTCCAAGCATATGCTCTCAAGTTAATCTGAGATGCTAGCGCCTAGTCATTCGTCGACCTCACTACGGTCGGTCACTCACGGCTAACCATTTTTATAACTATTTCGACTGTGCCTTTCACTTTTGATTAATTCTCAAAGTGAATGACGACGCTTCCTCTCATTCTGGCTTCCTAATAAGAGACTTTCCATACATTTGACTGCCAAAAATAATAAATGGAAACTTTTATTTTATGATTTGGCTTCAAAGAGCATCCAGCATAGTGCCTCATATGTTCAGATCAGTATTTGCCTAGCCGTTGTCTCTATAGTTAATAATATAGAACTATACTGACAGCCATAGGTTTGGAGATCTATTTCCACTAAAATTCTATCGAAAGACATGACGTGTCGCAGCGTGAAAGATCAAAAACAATATTAACTGCATACTATTTCGTCTGACATCTTGAATTGCAAATATCATCATGTAAGATATACTAAAATCTTTTGGTGCAGATGTCTAAACTACCATCCTCCTACACAATGCTTTAGAAAAGATACAGAAATATATCTGTTTTCGAAAGAGAAAGGAAGAAGCCGCACCTTAGCGAATAAGGAAAAACTAGCGTCAGATTCGAGATCCTCGACCTCAATTACTTATAGTCAATCATTCCCGTATGACTATCGTCAAGTATAAAGAATAGAAAAACAAGAACAGACTATGATGAGGATTACTTTTGATTATCGAGCTCAAATACGCCATCGTAGATTTGTTCATGAGAAGCTTTTTCAACTGGATTAAACTCTTTTCGAACGTTTTATTTGTCAATCAACGAAAAACTGTCACTTTGCCAAGAGCATATTGTTATTGAGATCCATCGACTTTATCATTGCCTCAAACCGACTGAATTAAAATGTTTATCACACTGGATTTTCTTTTCTTGACCACTCCCTGTGTTACTAGTAACATTATATAATGATTCATATACGATGCGATGGACTTTTCTTTTGCACGATGATTCATTGTCATTCTCTACCAAGCGTGCATGAACAAAGAGAAAGAAAGAAAACTGACGTGTGCCAACTGGATTACTAGACATTCTACTGTTTCGGTGAAGTCGAACATTCAATTTTGTTATCGATATTTATCATCGTTGTAGTTTTCTATTCAGAAGAAATATCGTGTACTTGACCTTTTTGTAATTGTTACCATCATACACAAATAGATGGATCAAAATTGTATCATTACTAATGTCAAAATGGGCAAACGTCGCATGACCATCGGTGCCTTGGCGACAACGGGCGTCGATTCTTGCATTGCTGTGGCAACTGTTTCCTATGGTGCAAGCAATGTTTTCATCGGTCATTATTCCACGCTGCCGATCAAAGGTTTTGGCGAATCGATCACATTGGACAGTGTTCGGAAATTTATGGAGGAAATCGCGGCGGCTGTACACGGTACATTTCCGCTCGATTCACTAGAAACGGTTTTTCTTATCGGTGGTTGGGATACCAAACCGTATTTACAGCTACAGAGCTTGTTGAGAGTATCTGCAATAATGAAAACGTACTTTATTCGGAAGGTATTTCACCTAGCTTATCCAAATTGATTTCCTGTATTAAACATATTGATCTACAATTCAATCTCGGACATCGAGACTCAAACAATCAGAAGGTAATTTGAGGATGATCTCCCGAATATTAATTACCTTTCTCTATTAATACTTTTCATACATCTGGATTTGTCCTAGATCGACGTGAATACGGATGACAAAGTCGATAATTGGGTCTGTCAGTTCGATTTGATCGTCGATCGTGTCACCGTACCATCGGTCTTCATCCTTCTACAATACGTGAATGTTGAAATGAACGACGAAGCTAAGAAACTAGTGGCAATATTAGAATACGAGGTGAGCGAATGTCAATTGAAGAAAATATTTCATGCACCATTCGAACTCAACCAACCTCCCAGGACGATCGTTCCTGGAAGCAGTATTCCGCTTATTTCCCGTGAAAACCCGGAGGATATTTATAGTATCCGCGCTGGAAACCACGAGAAAATACTCGGAATCCCACTGAAGGAACCGGTAACCGTATCCGACTAATGGTTATGACGGGTTCTTGTTGGTTCCCGATAAAACCTTATAAATGCGATGAAAGGATTTGGTAGCCGTAATACTGCTTCCATGAAATCCCCCGGAAGGTCCTGGAACTAGTCAGTTTCGGGCCGGATTCTTCGACCTGGGCTCCGTTCATCACGGGCACGATCACCATGTCTCTTAATCGAGCCAAAACAGCAAATATCCACGCAGAGCTCATCCACAATGGTATTCTCAATAACATTAAGGCGCTAACATCACGCATAAAAGAATAAACTGCTGGTTGTTCAGAAAAAGTTCGCACAAATTCAGATGGAAAAGACTTTGAATAAAAATCGTATTAAAGTCATTGAAGCCCGATTGAACACCCTCAAGATGGTGTCATTTTCCTGTTCTTGAAACGCTGAAACTCCGATTACCGCAGCGTCGTCAATGTACAGCATCACATCCTCGTGAGTATCGTGATGAAGATCATCGTTCATCTCAGTGGTCTACCCGTCTTCGATTGTTGAGCATTGTTGCGCCTCAACCGTACACGCGCGTCACCTTATCGTTCTACGATTTTGTACGTCGTTTTGCGTCATCACTTGAGCGACTATCGTTCTATCTGACCCNAGTTGAGCACTAGTAGTAATCGCAGTGCGTTTTTTCTCTTTCAAAGTCTCTGAATGTGTTCAGCATTCGGAAAAGTCTTTCAGAAAAGGGTCAGCGAATCCAAAGGATGAGCGTTACTTGTGTTTATGTACGTATGATGTTATAAACATAGGTGACAGTGTATTTTAGGCTCAAAGCATGTAGATATGTACTCGATCTATATTTAAATGGAATTTTTTCTTTCTCTATAAAGTGAACCAACTTAGAGGAAAAGAAACTACGAAATTTGGATTAGTTGTTCACTTACTATATAGACGAAAACAATGAAATCAAACGCAATATCTTCGAAATAGCTGCTGAAGACATAGTAATGATGGATGATGATTTATCATGGTTATCCCCATCGACATCAACTGAAAGTTCATTATCATCTTCATTAATTGAATATTCATCATTATTAAAATTTTAACCGTTCTTTTCGATTACATCTCATCCTTGATAATTTTAACAAACATTGTTGGGTTCATTTAGAAAGAGAAACTTTTTGGAAGGACATCTTCGAAAGAACATTTTCCGACCGACATTGTCTATAGAGGACATTTTCGAAAGGACATTTCCCAACGGACATTTACTATGAAAAACATTTTATACGAAGGACGTTTTGTAAAGGACCAAAATCCAAGGACATTTTTGCAGGGACATTTTCTAACGGACATTGTTGGCTGTATTCGAAAAACTATGCTGTAGGACCTTTTTGATCCCACCACATGAACGAAGGATTAGCAGAAGATTTTGGTTGTTGTGGTATTTCACCAGATTCACTCGCCTCTGAGTTGAAAGATTCATCACTATTATTTGGACTCAACGATGCTGTATCATCATTCAATCGGCTTTGTCGCTGACGAAAACCGAAGAAAAGTATCGAGCCGATACAAGCGATGACACCAATTGCCAGAAGAATCCAAACCAAGCTGAATGAACGCGTCAGAGCGTAGCTGTTAACAAAGGCGCGTTTGCATGCGATTGCTTAAGACTTCTGAGTTGCGTTTAGACGTCATTGAATTTAGAGCAAACTTCCCAAGCTGAACTGTTTTTCTTTAACTTTACTCTGCTATGTTTACCATTATCGTAATTCAATTATTCCATTGCTTAGATATGGTGAAGTTGATTATTAGTTCACGGTTGCTTCAGTAAATGATGATCGCAGGTGCCATGATTATTCGCTTCCTTATGGTTTCAAGTTTTTCATCAGACTCAATAATTCTTTTCATTTTCTGCTGCTGCAGGACAAACGGCCATTCGAGGATAAATTCTTTCAATTCGCATCACAATGCTTTCCTTGTTTTAAATACCTATATCTGTATAACGATGAAGCACAAGAAAATAACCAAAATTGTACTCAACTGATCACATTTTCCTTCATGACGTTTCTCTATGTGAAAGCAGCACATGGAGATTACGCTGCACAACTTCTCTCAAAGAAGAAGACTTCTTTATCCAATTTATTACATCTGACGATTAGATATGATTTACTCATGACGGTAACGAATTGTTTTACTACTGATGCTGCTGGTTTCAATTTCGGCAACTTGAAAAAACTTGATATAAGCGAACCGTTTGATCAACCAGCGAATTTTTTAGAATACTTTCCTTTACTGGAAAAATTATTTTGAAAAAGTGAATATTAATTGCGATTCCCATAAATTTCTTTTCGTATGAAATATTCGAAAATGTTGATCATAGTTATTATCTTTTCTTAATATGATACAGGCATGTGATGCATAAATAAGCATCCTTTCTATAAATACTATCATAGGCTATAAAACAATGACATTTTTGAAGAATAACAACGACTCACTCAGAATGATATTTCCAACCAGAAGAGGGCTTTCTTTCTATTCTCTTACACAAAGTTTTTTTTCCCCATATAGGTACATTAAAACGTGTGACAAAGTGAACGTATAAGAAATGGATTATTATCTCAAAAACAGTTCTTTAATTCTTGAAAGTCAGAAAACACGGATGTAATGACTTTCACATAGAGGAGTACGTGAAACAATTCCATTGTGATGATCTTTTCCCATGAAATTTTTGCCAACAGTTAAAAGTCGTTTCCATTCATTTATTAAACTGGTATACATCTCATCTGTTCTTGTAATATTCATTTCCAAGTATTATCTGATGCACAATACACGAAAATGTATAAATCAAATGATGAAAGACCAATTTACATATTAAAAGCACAAAGATATGATCTGATACGGTTCTCGCATTATATCTTATGCGCATGATGGATTATGGACGCAACTTCAGCTGACTTTGGATTCGGTCCACTACTAACAATGTCAATCCATCATGTCTACAATTGAATGAGACATGGTGCTTTGACTTTATCTATGTCGTTAATTCGATAATAGTTCTTTTCCATAACGTGTATTATTGTATGGAGAAAATATCCGAGAACGAGTAACGCTTGTTGAGTCCTCTATCATAGTTCCTTCTCGTAGAAAATGTGTTTCTAAACATCATCAAAGTACTTGTGTCACTTTGAAAACTTGCACTAGGTCTGTGTGTCAAAGATCAATCAGTGAAGTGCAATCATACGCGGAAATAGGAGATTTCTGTTTTTCAGACACTTGAGTAAGAATCTTTTGACTTGAATTAATCATATAATTGAATGCATCAGAGGGAACACTCATCTAAAAGAGTATATACAATGGAAAAGAAAGAAAAAGGAAATCGAGTTAGTGTCATTAGGCGTCATCCTAATTTCGGAGCTTTATGTGAATTCTAAATATGTTATTTGGTTGTTTTCTTCTACTACTTCCTGAAACTCGAAAGAGAGATAAAAGCAAAGTCTTTCAGACTTATAGATCTCTTAACTTACAGAAGCATCTTAGCCGAGATGATTCTAGAAAGCCAATTCTTAATTAAGACCTTCATTAGCGTGCATGATGATAAAGTCAACAGATAGCAGAGAAATCATAGGCGACTCTTTCGAAGGGAGGAGTCCACGAAAAATTAGGTTTATACCGGTGTATTTTATATTTAATCTATAAAATCCTTTAGGTCCTTTTAATCCACTGAACCCTCACCTTCACCTTCCACTCAGACCGACACTCCACCCTCACACCTTCAAGAAATTGATAAATGATTCTCATAAACAACGAAGAGAACTTCATATCAAACAAGAAATGTTTTCTTTTCGATAAGTTTCAAAACAAAAAACTAGAAATGATCTTGACAAGAACATTGTCCATTTGGATGAAAATGATGAATACGATTTGCATCTCGTATAACAATTTCA